AGACTTGCCACGGTCTCCAACCCTCCTCCTTTCTCATCCGGGCTTGGGACCGGCCATGGCGGAGTTGGACTTTCACTTTTCGAAATATTTTCATCAGCGATAAGGTGATTGAATCTATTGCAGTTGGAAGCTTTTTGACTGAGCTGAATTATAATTTATGCGGTTGAATGTTATTAATCAGAAAGTACGTCAGCTCCTCCCCATTTAACCTTCATATTTGTTGGAAGCTGGCGGTTTTCGCCAATAGTAATGTTACCACAGTACGATAAAGTAAACATATGTGCTACTATGAAAGCAAGGGACCGGTTAAGTTAACACAAAGCCTGGGCTAAATTGGTTTGTGGCGATAAACAAAGGGTTAAGTAGTAAAGGTAAGCTGTCTGTGTGAATTCTGCCTGCGCATCTACCTGGATCTACGATCATGAGTGCTTGAAATTGACTGAAAAATGTGGTCGTTAATATAAGTCGTAGAGATGAAGTTTCTGCGAGGGATTGCTGGTGGGTCGAAGCTCAGCAGGATTCAAAACACCGTAATCTGGACATCTACTGTTCCATAAATCAAGGATGCACAAAAAGGGCGGACTTAAACTCTACCAGATGGCGGGTTTAGGGCTATCTCGTTACCTTCGCTCGGTGGCTCTGGCACTTCAGATCGTATAGCTTGCTCGTCTGGTTAAACACGGTTAGCAATCGAATAACTTTCTGAAATCGCAGTCCGGCCATCAAAAAGGAATAACAGCATATGGAAATTAACGAAGTAATAGGACCTCGAAAAGAATTACCGCGGTATAACGTGCATTGCGTTTTTATTTGAGGTATGTTTTTTAATGTATATGTGAAGTGAACACACAGTTAATCAACGTCATGAGTGACAAAATCATGTGAGTTGTAGCTTAGTACTGTATTTTAATAGACATTTTAGTTTTGATTCTGTCATTCGTTTAATTTCAATCTTCTTTTTACTACGTTTATTCAGAAGGCTTATCTTATTGACAAGTTGAATGTTTTTAGGTAACGTTGGTTTTAAGGTCGCTATCCTTCAGTAGGAACATCGTCCTTTTGCATCTGTGTTGCTTTTTCCCAATTGTGTGATTCATTTGAACGAGAGACAGTATCACTCATGGCGAAAGTGGATTCTGAAATTCTCAGGAATCTTGAGGTTTGTATTTTTATTGATATCGTACACTGCAAAGTATTCACGTGAGCAGTTGCTGCAGTTAGCGGCAGTTAATTCATTTTTACCATTATCCTTGACAAAGCTTGGTTTTGAGCCGATTGCAGAACGACCTTGAAATTACTTCACGGGAGACATCCAAGCATGTTTAAAGCAACTATTTTGAACATGTTGTTTAAAGATTTGTAAAACCTGGTGTAAGAAGGGAAGACAAGCGAAATGACAGTACTTTATCAGAGTCAGATGGCTCCAAAACTATCGCATTGCAGTTTTCAGTGTGCTATCTGCGACGCGTATTAGCTGATATCAGGGATAGAAATAAGTAACGTCTTTCACTCTACTTCTATGAAAAAATCTGAGTAAGTCTCCCTAATAATATAACCCAGATTTGTACGTTTGGTCTCATGCCTTTCAGTGAGGAAGTGAGTTTGTAGTTATCGAATTTTCAAGCCAAGAAATATGTAGACTGGGGCAATAGTGCAACCGAATTCTGTAGATCATTTCTGAAAAGTGTGATCATCGCCGATGAACCGACCATAAAAGATTTATCAGAGTAAGCTCAGCAGATCGTTTCTGAGGGAGGGAAGAAGACCTGGTGATCCCGGAAAAATATCTTGATCTTGTCCTGAAAGATACACAATAAATAAAGATTCTTTTGGAATAAGTCCACAATGATCCGTAAGTTTGTGCAGTTAGAAGTTGCTTTCCACTTCACACGCTGGCTACTTCACCGTTTAAACAGAAATATGAATTGAGATAAGCTGTTTCAAAAAAAACAAGAAATCTGCAGGCGCGCAGCAACTCCAATTGTCCTTCATATCGATACTATCAAACATTATTACACGTTAGTCAAAACGTGAACAACTTGGTTGGATCTCTATTCCTGTTTTCCAAGATTGGGATGGAAGTCAGTTCAGGGAAAGACTGTCATGACGGTTGTCAAGTAACACGTCGTAGTTTGTAGTTTCTCTGCAGTAAACTTGGTAGCACAGTAAACGTTGTTAATTCGAAATTTAATGAACGTAGAAAATCGAATAACGTAAAACCTGTTTAGGAGCTAAATTTTCGAAAAAAGAATTGAGGCATAAATATGAGATATAAAAAGACATAAATTGTCCTAAAATTTAGTGTTGAATCCATTTTCAGTAGTTCCATTTTCAGTGGAGTTATTGTGGAGTAAAATATGGAAATGTCAACATTATCAGTGTTTCAATATCGAAAACAGTTCGCACGCTCCAGCATGTCAAATAGCGAATAATTCTTCCA